CATAATAATTTCTCTCCATAATCTAGATATCTAGGCCGGTGGGGTGTATATAAACTTGAAAGATTACCCGAATTTATCAGTTATTGACAAATAAGGGTGTGCATGACAACCATTCTATTCCCTAGCACTGTTTCTGAAAAGAAACAATTCTTTTCTATTTCTGTTCCTTGGAACAGTTTCTGAGAAAAAAAAATGTGTTTGATAACATGTTCTATTTTTATTCTGAGAATGAGAATTGTGTTTGATAACATAATAAATAATATAATAAAAAATAATTCCTATTAAATATAAAAAAAATTGGATCATCACTTTCCTCTTCACATGATGTGGTTGTGATGGTGGTGGCGGGTGAGGGGGTGGCGGCGGCGGTACGGCGGTGGGAGTCAGTGATGTGGTGGTGGTTCTGACGGTAGTGGCTGCGGCGGCGGTAGTGGTGAGGATAGTGGTGGTGGAGGTGACGGCAGTGACTGCGACAATGGTAGTGGAGATGGTGGTTGGTGGCATATGTGGTTGGTGGCAGCAACAATGATAGCGGTGGCATAGTAGTGATGGTTGTGGTGGCAGTAGGTGACAGTGGTGGTGGTGATGGTGGCAACGATAGTGGTGGTGGTGATGGTGGCAGTGGTGGTGTAATGGTGGCGATGGTGGTGGTGGTGACAATAGTGGATGTGACGATGGTGGTTGTGGTTGATGGCGGCGGCGGTGGTGGCTGTAACAATGATAGTGGTGGTGATGGTAGCGGTGGCGGTACGACAGTGATGTGGTGATGATAGTGGTGGTGGTTGTGACAGCAGTGGCTGCGGCGGTGGTAGTGGAGGTGACAGCAGTGACTGCGACAATGGTGGTGGGGATGTTGGCGGCAACAATGGTAGCGATGGCATGATGGTGGTGGTTGTGGTGGCAGTGGCTGCGGCGGTGGCGGTAGGTGACAGAGGTGGCGTCGATTGCGGTGGTGGTGTAATGGTGGCGATGGTGGTGGTGGTGACAGTAGTGGCTGTGACGATGGTGGTGGTGGTTGGTGGCGACGACGGTGACAGTGGTGGTAGTGGCGGCGATGGTGGTGGTGGCAGTGGCGTAGTGATGGCGATGGTGGCGGTGGCGTGGTGATGGTGATGGTGGCAGTGGCGGCAGTGTGCGGTAATGGTGGTGGTGGTTGACGTGCGCTGTCGAACCTATGCAAATTACCGAGCTTCAGGTTTGTAGTGATAGGGCAACTCAGATCGTCTCCCAAAGAACCTGCTCACAATCAGAAGCGCTCTTGTAAAATTAAATATAAATGGAAATGGAGATTTTGTTGATTTGAAATTTAAATAAAAACAGATTTGAAAAAGATTTAAAAATCAGAATTTAAAAGCAATCAACCCAAGGAATCAGGATTCATTAATTTATTTTGTCATTGGATTAAAAAGATATGATTATCAATTCGTGATTAATCCCAATCGAATTAGGAATCCTCAAATTCAATTGGAAACCCTCTCTAGACTATCGCCTAGCGTTTGGTTGAATACAATATTTAAACTATGCAATCGCAGTAATTTAAACCTGTTCAACTTATGTTCATTGGGTTGGTCAATCTGACCATTAAATCGAATGATCAACTCTCCTTTCCAGAATGCAATCGCATTATTCAGTTTGAATATCTAGAATCGCATGATATTCAACCTGAATTGAGAGAAAATAAAATTGATGAAAAAGTTAAATACCAATCCTCTGAAATAAACTAACGAACCTTTAACCTTAGATTGATTAAAGGTGTTTAGCCTAGCATCACAAGGTTAAACATAATTCAAAATTAAATAGCAATAAAGAAAAAGAAGAAGAAGATGAAAAGAAAAATGCAGAATTTCAATAACAAAAACTAGAACAATTGTTCAACTCCAAAATCTGACTGCCGAAGGATTTCCTAACATTCCCCTTAAATAACCCACATTCAGAATGGGTTAGGGTTTCATCACTTCGGTCCATACATAAAATCAAATCTGGATATAATAAAATAAAACATTAAAACATGGCCTTGGGCCCTAAACACATTGGGTCCTAATTTAATTTATAAGTCCAAACGTCAAAATAAAATTCCAGCAAAAATACGTCATCTTGGGCTCAGGTTTCGACAATCTTCGCGTCCGAATTTCGCTTCAGTAGATGAAATAGAGATTGTAGCCCTATCTGTTAGCTGAAAAACTCAACAAGAAAGGAGTCAATCAGACATCTGTAGAGTGAGATATGATCAAAATACGATAGTAGTGTAAATCTGGAAAACTATGACAAAAATCAATTAAACGCAATTAAAATCTAGAATTCTGATTTGACCCAAAAGACCTTTATTTAATTCAAATAAATCATAAAAATACCAACCAAGAGTATTAAATAAGTGTAACAAAATATGTGTTATCAGTGGTGGCGGTGACGATGATAGTAGTAATGGTTGTTGCAGCGGTGGTACGTAGTTGTGGTGGTGGTGATGGTGGCATGGTAGTAGTGATGGGTAGAGGTGGTGGTGATGGTGTCAGTGGCATCGTGATGGTGGGGGGTGGTCACGATAGCACTAGTGGTACGACGGCGGCGACGACGATGGTGGCGGTGATAGTGTTGGGATGATAGTGGTGGTGGTGATGATGATAGAGATGAAGAGTGCTTCTCATTTTGTGCCCGGGAACAAAAAAAATAAATTTAGGTTCTTTTTTCTGTTTCCCAGCACAAAAATTATACCGGTTTATCCCGGTAACAAAAAAATAAATCGATTTTACCAAACGAGTTTCTTATCAATTTATGTTCTCGGGAATAGAAATTAAAAAAAAATTAATTCCAAAAAGATTATCATGCACACCCTAAGACTCTAGTGAGGACAAACCGTATACTCGAGCTCAAAACTATAGACTAAACTAATATAATTCTTGCCAATTCATCAACGTATTTACCAGAGTACACTAAGAGATTGAATATTTTTAAGAGAAATACTTTAATTTAATAAATAAGTATAATTTTTTTTATTAACCGTATGAAAGTCTACATGAGCAATAAATTAAAATTGATTGCATGTGTATAAAAGGAGAAGGCTGATCAAAAGAAATTTTTGGTTGGATGTGGATGAAACGTAAAGAAACAAATATTTACTGGGTTGTTTGCTATGAGTATTTTGAATGTATATTTTTTATCATATGTAGTATGCGTAAAAGTAAAATTATACTAGGATAGTTTTTTCTCCATCATTTTTGTTTTTAACTACACATGGAAAAAAATAATTTCATCTCACTCATGATATTATTTTTTTTTCCACCAACTGAAAAACATATTTCTACATATTGTCTCAAAATACCCATATACAAAAGATAAGCAGATGTGTAAAAATAAATTTTTTTATTTCAGTTCAAATTCTCATCAAAATTTTATAATTAACCAAATATAACATTAATAAAATTAATCCAACTTTCCTAAAAAATTTTGACACTTTTTCATAACTTACCGAAAAAAAAAATCCACTATATTTTTAATTTATTTTTTTTCAGAAAAAAAAAATCTCGTGTATTAGACCTCAGTTAATTAAATCCTAATAATGAAGCTAATGACCGAGTTCTATGGTGAAGTCACTACGTACGCCAGCTGTCTTAAGTATAGGTGACGTGTACTACATGGACGTCCGGTGTTTTTCCACCATCACATCATCTCCTCACACGTACAACAATTGTCTGTAATTACAATCGACAATTTCTTTCTGGGGTTTAATTTTTTTTTTTTATACATGTTTAATTTTTGCTCTCTTTTTTTGGTACGAAGTTTAATTTTTACATTTATCGTTATTAATAAGATGTTTCATATTTTTTTAATTATATAGCCCACAAGTTTTATAATGAATTTAGAAAGATGTTTAAATTCTTAGATAAAGATAGAGAGAACTATATTATAGGGTCACAAATTCAATTAAAGACGGATAAATTTGGAAGGAATATGTTAATAATTTTGAAATTAAAGAAAAAAAGGTTAAATGACAATGGTAGTACACAAGTGATTGACTGGAACTATTTATAAACTCAATAAAAATGATGAAGAAGAAAGAACCGTTGTAACGTTTGCTAATGCTAACGCAAGAATGAGGTGTCGCATGCATACAATGATGGGGGAAGATTAATTAAACTGAAATGATTCAATTAATCTCCCATCAATTATGCGTGGAAGTTATAGTCAAAACGGGTTTGTCCAACAAGTACTGCTTCCAGACCAGTCACGCTTCAAATATACGTATATATTCTCTAAATAGACAAGATCTGCGTTCCCATTAAAATTTTTAGTATTGGTTGTTGTGGGATTATTTGGTAATTGGCATCAATGGCAAATTTTTTTTTTTCTATTTCAACATTGATTTTAAATTGATCAAATGACAACTAAATAAATTATAAAGAGTAATAAAGTTAAAATAATTGTAAATATAATCGCTATTTTGTAAGTTATACTTATCTTTGCACAAATTTCTTGGTTAAAAAAACAGTCTGTCCGCTCCTGTACACTAATTTCTCTTATAACACAGTCTTTAATAGCATTAAAATTAGGATTAATTTTTATATGCCTGCTGAAGTCAAAAAATAAAAAAAATAATGTATTTAAATTAAAATATATTTTATGATTTTAGAAAACAGAACGTGATTTCCGTGCAGATAACTATTGTGGAATAGTTGTTACCAAAAAAAAAAAAAAAAAACACTATTGTGGAATAGTACTAAGCTCAAATGATGTGCAATTAATCGCCAAAAAAGTTTATAGGGAAAAGTTCACCAATGCCCCTGTGGTTTGCTTCAGAATCATTTATGTCCCTGTGGTTTTTTTCCTATCACATATGCCCCTGTGTTTTGTAAAAAATAAGAAACCATAGGGGTATATGTGATAAAAAAACATATCCTTTTACAAACCACAGGGGCATATGTGATAAGAAAAAAACCACAGGGGCATAAGTGATTTTGAAGTAAACCACAGGGGCATTGGTGAACTTTTCCCAAGTTTATATATAGAAGTTATGATCAAAAGGGGTTTGTGCAACAAATAGAGCTTCCTCGTTTATATTCCATTGTGGCACTACCTTACAATAATCATTAACGCCACTCATTATTTCTCTTACTTCTATCACCCATGGGTGACACTAACACCTTCGTTTTCGCCGCCCAGAAGCGTAGCTGTTCCGATGACGTGGACGGCGGCGACGCAAAGAAACTGATGCTGTTCAATCCCATGGCCCACAGTAATGGGGACCCAGCCGCCGCATTAGCCAGCGCGCGGCACGAGTTCGGGGAGCACGGCGGCGTTAACATGTCGATCGAGGCCTCCGCCACGTTCACGGTGATGGAGGCGGAGACGATGCGGCGCATGTTCACCGGAGAGCTGGGCCCCGATCGCGACTTCTTCGTCTACAGCCGCCACTTCAACCCCACCGTCCTGAACCTCAGCCGCTTGATGGCCGCACTCGAAGGGACCGAGGCCGCCTACTGCACCGCCAGCGGCATGTCAGCCATCGCCGCCGTGCTGCTCCAGCTGTGCAGCAGCGGCGGACACGTGGTGGCATCCAGGGCACTCTATGGTGGGACCCACGCACTGCTGAGTCACTTCCTCCCAAGGTCATGCAACATAACCACGAGCTTCGTTGAGGTTGCGGATCTGGAGATGGTGGATGGTGCCATGGTGGAAGGGAAGACCAAGGTTCTGTACTTCGAATCCATATCGAACCCTACTCTGAAGGTGGCGAATATTCCGGAGCTGAGCAGGCTGGCCCACCGGAAAGGTGTGACGGTGGTGGTGGACAACACCTTTGCTCCGATGGTGCTTTCGCCAGCTCGTCTTGGTGCTGATGTTGTCGTTCACAGTATCTCTAAGTTCATCAGCGGTGGGGCCGACATCATAGCAGGTAATCTTTGTCTTCTTTCTTTACCTATTTTTTATTCATTATATTATTGTGTTGTTAAAAATAAAATAATATGAAGAAACTGCTTTTTATGGACCAAGAAGAGACATTTTTTTTTATTGATAAATCCATATTATCCGTTAATGGCAGCTTTTTCTTACTCTTATCCCATATCTATGTATAGTCTTTAGTGCCAATAATTATAATAATTAAAGACCAGTTAGCCTTCTATAACGACGCTACTAAACTACTTAAATATTCATACATAATATTAAATATTTTTTCTTTTTTTAATGAAAAAAAAAATCTTCTATCAGTGGAGGCTTAGATCTACATGTTACAAATGTTTATATACTATATTCAATTTTATTTAATTTATGTTTGATTTGATATTCAAAATTCTTACCTTCTGGTCACCTTGCTTTTAAAATAAAGATTAATATAAGTTGGCAACTTTTTTATGGAATAGTTTAGGTTTTTTTTTTTATGCCTAGTTATCATTCTCTAAGAGAATCTTAAGAGAATTCAGAAATAATAAAATTACTTGAAATTCTGATATAACAATATTGAAAAATAATAAATAAGGTATGTATGAAAAAAGTAGGTAGAATAATTTATTTATTTTTTATATACAAAATAAATTAAATAGTATACATTTAATGTTATTTGAGAAATTTTATAATTTCAAATTCAAGATATAATAGAGTTTGAAAAGTGTAAATTATATCATAAAAGTATTTTTATTTTCAAAGTTTATCAAGTCCACTCTATATTTATTAATATATTACTAAATATTTATGTTGTTTAGTTTAAGTGTTTAATATTTCTCATTTTGCAAAAAGTATTTATTATAATATAAAAATATTAATCTCTTAATTTAATATACTGAAAAAATTGGATACAAGAATCTGTCACTTTTGAACTCATGTTATCACAAATCTTCTCCCGACTACACGTGAACGATCATCGACTTTACGTTCCCTTCATTTCTTTTTATCTACTACACGTGTTCTTATTTATTAGGATGGAGTTTAAAAAGAAACTATTGTGGATGATGTGACATTTATCTCTTAAATTTTGCATAAAAATTGAATTTGATACCCCAAAAGAAGTTATAATTGATGATATAATCTGTACATATGAAACTTACAAATTATTTTACATAACTGAATTAAGGGTTTGCTGTTTTTTATATTGTATGATATAATTTTATTTCTTATATATATATAAATATGTGAAATCTATACAAGGCCATGTGAAGAAGAAAAAAGAGAGGGAAAAAAAAAAATATAGGTTTGACATATTTTATATATGTTCATTTTCTATAATATGAGAATATAATACGAGAAACATTAAACTTTGAATTAATCCGGCAATCTTGTATTTTGACATAGAAAATTGATGATTATAATTGAGAATTGACAGGGGCTGTGTGCGGGTCTGCAAATTTTGTGAATTCAATGATGGACCTCCAACAAGGGGCGATAATGCTGTTGGGTCCAACTATGAACGCCAAGGTGGCATTTGAACTATCTGAAAGAATCCCACACTTGGGGCTAAGGATGAAGGAACACAGTCACCGTGCAAAGGTGTTTGCAACCAGGCTCAAAAACTTAGGATTCAAGGTTATCTACCCTGGTCTTGAAGACCATCCACATCATGAATTGTTGAAATCCATGCACAACAAGGATTATGGGTATGGTGGACTTTTTTGCATTGACATGGAAACTGAAGAGAGGGCTAACCGGTTGATGAACCACTTACAGAACCATGGACAATTTGGTTTCATGGCTGTTAGCTTGGGCTACTATGAGACCCTCATGTCTTGTTCTGGAAGTAGCACCAGCAGTGAGTTGAGTTCTGAGGAAAAGGTCCTTGCTGGAATCTCACCAGGTCTAATCAGAATGTCAATAGGATACATAGGGACATTGGAGCAAAAGTGGAGTCAGCTGGAAAAGGCACTCACTAGACTTGAGGAATATGGCTTCACCAACAAGAATTGAATCACTTTTGTAATCCTACTTCTTGTAATGCTCGCTCCTGTTCATGCATATATGTATAAATACTGTTTATCTTCGAATGTAATCTCAGTACTCAATCTGTATGTAGTGTGTGCTGTATATTAAGGTCACTGAAATAAAAATGGAAAATGTAATCTCTGTACTCAATCTTAGTTGCTGCAAAATGAATCTTGCTTCGTGCATTCATTAATCTGGAATGCATTATATCAGCCTTGAACAACCACGGCTTCTATAGATTGTTTACATAGAGGGATGGTTCAGATGGGCTTTTTATATACCCATTTTGCAAGAAATAATCGCCAGTCTTCTTGTTCCACACTCTTTAGTAATTGTTTAAAACCACAATGAGCTTTGTACAGCTTGTAAACTTTTCTTCTTCATTTTGCTTCAAAACCTTTATATTGTTTAACATTAATCCCTTCTTCTAATTCTCCATTAAGGAATGGGGATTTAACACCAAGTTAGAAAACTTGCAACTCTAATTGAATTGCAAAGGCAAGAGCAGTTCTAATTGTCTTCATATGTGTGCTGTAGGAGCAAAAGTCTCGTTGAAATTCACACCAGGCTGCTGAGAATATCCTTTTGCCAATTGCCTTGCCTTATATTTTTGCACACTACCATCTTTGTTATACTTGGTCATATAAACCCATTTCAAGCATGACTAGGTTCCAATAAAATAGTAAGAATCAGAGTTTGTCCCCCCCTCTCAGGATTTCTGGTAGTCCTTAGATTCGTGACTTGGTTTCTTACAAATAAAACAGTAAGAATCAGAGTTACCAGGTCTTTGGTTCCAAGAAAAATCTTTTCGTCCTCTTCCTTTACCTTTGTCTTGAAAATGTCTTCAATGGCCTTTACTCTTAAATGTGCCTTAGTTTATAATTCAATATTATTGTGTTTATTTGTGCCTGTGAATTTTGTCTTAGATCGATGCGGTGGTGTGATAGCATTCTTAAAGTTTTTTGGAGAAAGAATTGCCCACAAGTGACGGAGTCAGAAAAAAAAATTTATGTTCGCACGCTTTAGTGACGAGGGTTTGGGGGAGCGTCCCGGAATTTTTTTTTGGTGTAAAAACAATTTAGATTGACGCTCTATGTATAAGGTTATGACCTCGTCTTTAGAGATTAACTTATTTGAAAATATCAGATTTGCAATCAATCCTCTCTTCTTAGAAAAATGAAAAAAGAAACAAAGGATGAAGAAAACATGAGAATGAGTATTTGACACGGGAGGAAGAATAAGTTTTCTCTCTAATCAATTTGAGTTACTACGTTGTTTTAATCATCTACATAGGTTGCTACGTTGCTAATTAATATAAGAGTAAATACTCTTTTTAGTCCCTAACAAAAAATTCGGTCCTCACTTTAGTCCCTTACAAAAAAAAATGTAGTGGTCTGGTCTTTATGAAATTCAAAGTGGACATATTTTAGTCCTTTTGAACAACTAATGTGGATCTTTTTTGAATTTGTGAGGGATCACAATTTTAACTAAATTGATCCACTTTGAATTTCTTAAGAACCTCAAGACTACTCTTTTTTATAAGGACTAAAGTGGGAACCGTATTTTTTTGTTAAGTACTTAAAATAATATTTTTTCTTAATATAAATATTGAACAATGAGATAATTAAGAACTTGCCGCACAAAAAAAAAAAAATTGCGGACATGCGCGTCAAAGTCGGTCCGCCAGTGTTGCCGACGATAGTATTTGATCCACGTTTAAAGTTTTATGGAGATTATAAATTCTGTCATGCTGTACGGTGTTGGGAGCTATGCTTTTCATGTGTAAATTAGTAGTCTCATTCAATTTAGTAAAAAAGTGAACATGTGGAGGAAAAACGTTACGTGAAATTAAGTCTATTTTTTTTCTTTCTCGTCACTTGATTGAAATTTTAATATTTTGTCAAAATAAAGGAGTAAAATGAACTTATACATGACAATTTTTTTTTTCAGATTTAATATTTCTTATATTATAAAAAATACAATTATTTTTTATACACTTATTAAAATAAGAGAAGAGAGAGAAAAAAATGAGTTATATATATTTTATATGTATAAAAACAATAAATTTTTCTCATGATAAATATTAGAGTAAACACCATTTTTAGTCCTGTCAATATCTACGAAGTCTTTTTTAGTCCCTGACAATAAAAAAGGACCAAATTGGTTCCTGAAATTACAAAAAAAGGGCCATGTTAGTCCTTATGTCAACTCCCAAATATGTAGAGTGGCCATTTTCTTGTACTTTAAGGAAACAATTTGGTCCTTTTTTATTGTCAGGGACTGAAAAGGACTTCGTAGATATTGTCAAGGACTAAAAAAAATGTTTACTCTAAATATTAAACCCACTTTTTATCCCTGTAAATGCTTTACTTGGATCAATCTATTGATTTGATGTGATACTCATTGGATTCATGCTTTGGATACGTGTTGAGTTTTGATTATCGCCTATAAGCAAAGCAGAGCAGCACTCTGTATTTGAATTGCTTTCTGTATGTTTTACTCTCTCTCTTTATATATATATATATATATATATATATATATATCGACTTATCTTTTCTCAAATTGTTTGAGATAATTTTATCTCCGACTATTAAATTATAATCGTACAAAGATAAATCAATAATGATAAAGAAAGAGAGAGAAAAAAAGAATCATAATCATTCAAAAGTGAATCAATTAATATAAGAAAATAAATAAATAAAACATCGTAATTTTGAGTAGCCGGAGATAAACTTATCTCAAGCTGCTTAAGAAATATTTTTCGTTATATATATATATATATATATATATATATATATATATATATATATATATATATTGAAATTAAACACATAACACTTAGTGTAAATTATCCAAATTCCTTATTATTATATCAAATCTAGTGGCTTCTCTATGTTTTACTCCTTTGCGTCTATTTCTGCTACCCAATTAATAACACTAAGAACATGTTTGACAACTCCTTCTTTTCTTTTCTTTTTTAAAAGCTACTTTTAAGTTAAATCCAAAAAAAAAAAAAAAACTTTAAAAAAAAGCTAAACTATTTGATAATTATATAAAAATTTTAATTTAAAGTTTTTTAAAAACTATTTATTTCAAAAAAAATGTTCATTTAAAAAAAAAACTAATAAAAGAATTTCTCCTATAAATTTTTGACTTTTAACTTTTAACTTTATTTTTACTATAAGAATTTAAAAAAAAAATTATTTGACCTAACTTTTATTTATTAAAAAAGAAAAATTACAAAAAAAAAAACCCCTCCCAAATAGCCACCAGTTAACACTTCTACTCTATGGTACCACACATGACACACCCATAATGGGTGACACACTTGACACTTTCCTTTTCGCCGCCCATGATGCTTTATCGCGTGTATCTTTGGCTTCTTTCTTTCTATTCCTTAACATTAATCAATAATAGTATTATGGCGTTAAAAGGAAGGGTCTTATTTCTCTTATATCATATGAAAGTAAGAGATATATTTCTCGTATGAAAGAGACTCTTTTATTGACTGACGGATCCATTAATGACCATTCTTACTCTAGTTTATCCCATATCTTTCCATCTCCCATCTTTTAGTGCCAATAATTGTAATTATTAAAGACCAGTTAACCTTCGACAATGACTCAACGACACAACCTTGTCCAAACTTTTTTAAAACTGCATTAAACTAATTAAATATTCATGCAGAATATTAAATATCTATAATTTTATGCGGTAGAATATTGTAACAACTACTTAGTATTACTACCAATTAATTTCATCGTTAGATCGATTATGTTGATCCAACGGTTATATTTATTTTCATCTTTGTATGATTATGATTCTCCATATTTAATGTGAAAATATTAAATATGAGAAATCATAATCATATAAAGGTGAAAATAAATATGAAATATTATATATGGAAAATCATAACCATACAAAGATGAAAATAAATATAATCGTTGGATCAACATAATCTATCTAACGATAAAATTGATTGGTAGTAACATTGGATTGATAATAACACTAATTGATTGTTACGATATCCTTTCCTTAATCTTATTTAATTAAAATATGAGGGTTTAGTGGGGCATGGCAGTTAGTGCTGCCTTTTGCAAATGTTGATATTCACAAATTAAAATACGAAGGGTTAGTGCGCGGCTGGCAATTAAAATTATAAAATTTCCCAAATAACTTTGGATATCACTTAATTTATTTTGTATATAAAAAAGTTGCCAACAGATCTTTATTTATAAAATATAAATGAATAAGGCGACCCGAGGGTAAAAATTTGTGAACGTATTTTAAGTTGGGGATAAATGTAAAATTATATAAGAAGAGAAAAAAAAATATAAATGTGCAGAAGACATGTGAGGCAATGTGATAAGAAGAGAAAAAAAAAAAATTCCATGCATTTTTATGTATGTATAAAAGATAATATCTTCTACAATATAAGAAATATTAATCCCTTTAAGTTAAAGACATAATAGAGTTTGGAAGGTGTTAATTGAATAGTATTTACAGTTATTTGATGGTTTTTGTAACTTTAAAATTTAACATATAATGGAGTTTGAAAGGTGTAAACCACTCTTGAACCAATATAAAATCAATAAAAACATCATCAATATTTCAGATGTGCATGAATAATAATAAAATTATTCATGCCACATATTATCTGCATATTTTGCTCTAAAATTTTTAACTTATACCGACATGATGTAGGAAAACTCTAAAACTTTTATATATGACTTTTAAAATACTTAGATAAAATTATAAAAAAAGCTACCTAATGAAAGAATATATATAGGTGAAATTTTTATATATTGTTTGTAGAATTAATTACGCATTCAATTAAGAAAGATAAAATTAAGAGAAGATATAATTAATTAATTTTATTTGTTATATATATATATATATATATATATATATATATATATATATATATATATATATATATAGGAAAAACATTTCTCAAGTTGCTTGAGACAATGTTATCTCCGGCTACCCCTAAACTACGTTGTTTTGTTTATTTATTTTCTTATATTAATTGATCCACCTTTGAATGATTATGATTCTCTTTTTCTCTCTCTTTCTTTATCACCATTGATCCATCTTTGTATGGTTATGATTTAGTAGCCGGAGATAACATTGTCTCAAGCAGCTTGAGATAAGTTTATCTCGGGTTATCCCAAAACTACGTCGTTTTATTTATTTATTTCCTTATATTAATTGATTTGAATGGTTATGATTCTCTTTTTCTCTCTCTTCCTTTATCACCAGCGATCCATCTTTGTACGGTTATGATTTAGTAGCC